GCTGAACTCAGGAAGAGGGAGGTCAGCTCAAGACAGACCTGTACCTTTATGGAAAACGATTTGTCTGATGAAGGTTAGTATGCAAACTATCCACTATGGACTAGAACAGGTGTCTGTCTATTCTTAACCACCCCCTGCCTCCCTCCCTGTCCAGTCACCTCCCCTCTCCACACACACACACACACACACACACACACACACACACACACACACCTTTCTCTGTGTTTATCATAGGTTACCCCCTACCTGTGTGCCATCTCCCTGCCACCCATTTTCACAGGGCGGAGAAGGTCCAGAACTTTGATATACACCATGAACATCTTTATGCTACTCCAGCGCCAAGATGAATGTGGTGGGAAACTGTCTTGTCGTGATCCACAGTGAATAACATGTTTAGTTTGCCTTCTGAGCCTGTGGAGCCTAAGCTGGCAGAGAGGGAGTCAGAAATCTTTCAGCCGGCAGATCAGCTATTGAAATTTTCAGCCAAACCAAGCAACTAATCATGGGTATTTGTTTAAGTCTTAGAAAATCCTAAAGCTTTCGCTGTCATCAGCATTGACCCCTCAAGAGTGCTGCAGTCTCCCAGGAGTAGAGGATTAGAAGGGCCTTGGTTTCTTCCTCTCTAAAAGGGGGATAATGCCCCAGTATTGTCATGAGGAGCATTGTAAATGAGAATGGATCTGAGCAGGCTTTGTCCATGGGAGTATAGTTTGTTAATTGCAAAGCACTCTACAGAAGTATAAAGGATTTAATGTATAAACAGGAGAGACAAAGGGAAGAAAACATTTTCACCCTTATTTTCCATCAGCACAATGCTAAGGGCTTTGCATTTATTGTCATCTTGCCCCCACCACAATCCAGTGAGATTGACATGATTTTACAGAGGAAGAAATTAAAGTTAGAAAATATAGAATTTGCACAGTTAGCAAACAGCTGAACAGGAATTGAACCCATGTCCAAAGTTGGTACTCTCTGCTCCTCCAGGCCTAAAGGTGAACATGGTACATAAGCTTCCTTAGGTACTCCCACAGGTATTGGGGTTTGACAAAGGTCTGCTCTGGTTTTGTTCTTGGGAAATGGATAAGTGATTCTGTTTCCCTGAGATAGGGTGACATGGAGAAGGAAAGCCTAATCCCCAACAGCCTTTATGTTTTCAGTGATGGATACCTGGACAGATCTGCTCCATGTCTGTGTAGGTGTGCATGCGGGCGCTGACTCAGAGTTGCATCGACTGATTGCTCATGTAGTGCCTACACTGAAATCCTTCCATTGTGGCTGCCTTCACACCTGTTCCTGGTTTTGAACCTTTGTATTGTTGTGTGTGTGTTTTGCACATGTCTCAGCTACAGTGAGATGCTGGCATTCACCCTGACTGCCTTCTTAGAGCTCATGGATCACGGCATTGTCTCCTGGGACATGGTTTCCATCACCTTCATTAAGCAGGTGAGGCCTCCAGCATTCTGTCTTTCTCTCCTTCCTCAGTCACCCATTGTTCTCCAGGCTAAGGTGGGCATGCAGTCAATACAGCATTCTGGTATGGGTCGGCTTTCTATCCCTGAGGCCAGACTTTCATCCTGGAGCTCTGCTCTTCCTGTGGTCCTGCAAGACTTACCCTGCTGTACTCTCAAGACCTGCATGGAGATGAACTGGGCTCTCTGAGTGAATCTGCCCAAAGTGGCCCTGGATTATTAGTGAGACTTGGGAGAACACCAGCATCAGCCAGTGCCATCCTTGAGTCTTCTGACCTGCTTCCTGACTTTCCCTTCTCTTTGATAAAAAGTGTTCATTTCATTTGCCTTATATTTATAAGTCTGCCTTCTGTTTACAAATCTGCCAGGTAGCCTGTTTGGACTGTCAGATTGACCTCAGTCGGTAGGAGTGGAGACTTCTAGTTTTGCCCTCCTTTCTTTTACAAGAAGGGACAGCATCAACTCGGAAAACTGAACTAAAACCAGTGAATAATATGTCCTGACCTGCCATTGTCTTGGGACTATGGGAACCTCCCAGTGCTAAAGCTATTTTGGCAAAAGTGACCTGGCCATGTGTTAAGGATATTATAATAGGGATTGAGGAGGATTAGATGACAAGACTTTGAGATCCTGTCTACCTCTCTAAGTCTCTCTGTTCTATGTGTGTATAGGGACACAGTGCATGTCAGGAGAAGTGTACCTGGAAATAAAATAATATCCTAGTATAGGGGTGGGCAAACTTTTTGACTCGAGGGCCACAATGGGTTCTTAAACTGGACCGGAGGGCCGGAACAAAAGCATGGATGGAGTGTTTGTGTGAACTAATATAAAATTCAAAGTAAACATCATTAAAGGGTACGGTCTTTTTTTTTTTTTTTGGTTTTATTCATTTCAAACAGGCCGGATCCGGCCCACGGGCCGTAGTTTGCCCACGGCTGTCCTAGTATCAGTAAGATCCTCTGCTTTCTATAGTCAGCTTTTTCACACTCGAGTCCTTATTTTGAAAATGAAGTATTAAGCCCTTAGATTTTGAGGACACACAGTTGACTGGATTACTGTAATTTGAAATTGAGTTTTCCATGCCTAGAGAATCCCTGGCATTGGCCCTGGTAGCCATAAAGAGATAGCACTCTCCAGCTCGGGACACCTGCCCCAATGTGGTCAACACACCTGAGAGGAGAGAGCCTGTGGGCTAGCAGCAGAAGCCTAAGCCGTCCGGCTCCCATGGGCCCTGAGCTTCCTCTCTGATTTGTCCCTCTCTGCCTTTAGATTGCAGGGTACGTGAGCCAGCCCATGGTGGACGTGTCCATCCTTCAGCGGTCCCTGGCCATCCTGGAGAGCATGGTCCTGAATAGCCAGAGTTTGTACCAGAAGATAGCAGAGGAAATCACTGTGGGACAGCTCATCTCTCACCTCCAGGTGTGAGTAAGAGACTCTGCCTGCCTCCCTGCCCTGTCGCTTCTCTTCTCCCCTCTCCGTCTGCGTAAATCTTCCCGTCCTCTCCTGCTTTGCTTGGATTCCAAGCTGCTGGTCTGCTTGTTCATCCATTCATCGCCTCTTCTACATGACTGCCAGGTTCCTTCCATAACTCAGACCTGATCATGTCATCTCCTGTGTAAAACCCTCTGTAACTCTCTTGCCCCTTCGGATGAAGTGGATTTCCCCAATCTCCCTGTACCACTGTGGTACCAAACAAAATGAGATGCTTTCTTCTCTATGGGCCGAACAATCTGTTTGTACCTATGGCAATTATATTTACATAAAATACTCTAATTTTTATTATCTGTCTCCCATTTTATACATTTTTTAAATATATTTTTATTGATTTCAGAGAGGAAGGGAGAGGGAGAGAGAGAAACATCAGTAATGAGAGAGAATCATTGATTAGCTGCCTCCTGCACGCCCCCTACTGGGGACCGAGCCCGCAACCCCAGGCATATGTCCTTAACTGGAATCAGTCCTGGGACCCTTTGGTCTGTAGGCCAACACTCTATCCACTAAGCCAAACCAACTAGAGCTCTGTCTCCCATTTTAAACTGAGCTATCTGGGAACAGGGACCAATCATTTTTGTATCCTCTGCTTGGATTTAAGCAAGAGCCCAATTAGCATTTGTTGAACAAATACTTTTAAAAATGCTTTTGAGGCTTAGCCCCCTGTTATTATTTGATTACAATCTGTGAGTGATTTCATGAACCATGTCTAAGTGTCATCTTGCTGGTCATTCTTCTAATCTCCTCTGCCTTCTTTCTTCATTGACACAGCTCCAACCAGGAAATTCAGACCTACGCCATTGCCCTGATTAATGCACTTTTTCTGAAGGCTCCTGAGGACAAGCGACAGGTCTGTGGCTGCCTTTCCAAGCTTTTCATCTGGGCTTTTCCAAGAGAAGAATTCTCACCCACTCACCCTTTGCAGACAGCAGAAACCCAGCCATTTTCCCAAGAGTCCTTCCTCCTGTCCCTCTGTGATCAGAGCCCATTGAGTGGCTTTGCTAAGGAAGACCCAGGGGAGAACGAGCTGGGAAACCAGCTGGGGTCTTAGGTCAGAGCAGGGGCCTGCAAACTTGTTCCTCTAAAGGGCCAGAGGGTAAATACGTTTGCTTTGTGGGCTATATTGTCCGTGTGGCAACTATCCACCCTTTCTGTTGTAGCCAAAAGCCAGCCATTTCAGACAGTAGGTGAACGAATGATGTGGCTGTCTCGCAATAAGACCTTATTTACACAAATAGTTGACAAGCCTAATTTGGCTTTGGTTTGCCAGCCCCTAGGTTAGAGAATCAAGAAGGGAGAGGAGATTGAAACAAATGAGAGCCTTACTTAAGGAAGCAAGAGTGGAGGCACTTAGCACGAAGTCTCGTGTGTAAGCTCTGATCCAGGTTCTAAACTTCCTTCTTCTCCTATGAATTATCTGTGTGACATTGTGCAAACAGCTCTACCTCTCTGAACCCCAGTTTCCTCACCTGTAACATGGGAGCTACCACATCTGCCCCGTTTACTTCATAAGGATGTCATGAGGCAAACCAGACCCCCGATTTACAAGTGAGGAGACCAGGAATTGGATGGGCAGGGGAACAAGCTCTGACCTAAGCGTCCAGGGCCTGCCACTGGCCGGACACATGCTTTAACCTCTTTGGGTCTCAGTTTCTCTTTCTGTCAAATGAAAGGGCCAGATTAAAAGACCCCTAGGGGCCCTTCCAACACACTTTCTAGATTTCTCTGGTAAAAGCCCAAGTGGTGCACAAAAGAAAGACTTTTTAGTTGTCTGTCAGTACCCTGGGCTCAGGAGGTTGAAATTCATGTGGGATCAGGTGTAACAAGCCCTTGGTGGATGCCAGTGGGAGACCAGGAGCATCTGTGTTTCTGTCTGTCCTGTCTTTCTTGGATGGCTTTGCTCTGTTAAGCTCTTCCTTCCTGGTCCTGTTCTGATTGTAAACTGAAAGCTCATTCTTCCATCTGCTTCTCTCTGTGCTTTTGCTTTCTGCCGGCAGGACAAGCACCTTAATCCTCTAGACCTGCCTGCCACTGTAAGTAGCACCGCTCTGTGGAAAGGGCCCCGCTCTCATCCAAGTGGGGAGGTCACAGCTGGGCAAGAATCTCACCTCTGATCTAAGATGTTCAGGGAGCTCCAGAACCAGGAAAGGTTGTGTGCTGTAAACCTCATTTGTCAGGACACTTGAGGACTTCCTGCAGAGTAGAGCCACATGCAGGATTAAGGCGATGCTTGTCCCAGGGAATGTGGCCCAGTCTTTCCTTTGTAACTCGCCTTTACGTGGGTCTGTGGTTCAGCCAGCGAAGTTCAGATTCAGAAATAGCCTGTGGCTTTCATCTAGATGATACCATGGCGCATCACCTCCCAACTTGATATAGCAAAGTGTAAAGGTCAATCCATGTTTACCTAGACCGTGGGCATTTGAAAAGGTTTGGACAGTTGACAAGAGGGGATTTAGATGCTCATTTTTCCTAAGAGGGAGCTTAGGGAGGTCAGCTCTACAAGGATCTGGAAGAGGATGAGTGCTTCCCCCCACAGAGAAGCTTTTAGTCTAAGGTCTTAATGTTCTAGCAGTAGACCACTGCCTGTTTCCCACTGTTAGTTGTCCACAGAGAGATCTAATCTCAAGCTGACCTCCTATAGCTATCAAGAAGTTTCAAGGCCGCCTTCCTCCTCCTCCAGGTGGTGTGTATGCTCAGGGCAAGCATAGTAAAACTTAATGTTCCTGGCAGCACCAGCCACTTGGAATATGGCCAGAAATCCAGGCGTGAGAGAAAGCCCTTTGGGCTCTGAGGACACTGCTCCATGGGAGAAGTGTGACAGCTCCCTCAGGCCGATGGACTTAGAATTCTCTGTAAAATTAAACTAAGGCAGCAGTTTAGAAAGTGAAGTCATACCAGTTAACATTATAAGAAGTGATGGCTGACATTGGAAGGCAGAGACAAAAGAATTCTAAAAAGCTGTCAGAGAAATGAAAAGCATGGTAATCCGAGACCATTTTGTTTAGGAGAAAATAGCTTCACATCTCAATAGCTCCTTGAGGGTATTAGTGTCACAACCCAGAAAAATAAATGATGGTCTTTATAAAGCCAAGTCCTCGGCAATGATTAAATTATAATCATTGCAGTCTCTTCTGACATAGACATGTATTTTTTAAAGATTTGCATAAGAATGGTCAAAGTAATGGTTCTGAGAGGACCCTTAAAGCTTCGCTCCCTGGAAGATTCACTTTAGGAGGATACTAAATACATAAAGTGTTCCTGTTAAATCAGAAAGTAACCCTATTATGAAAATTACCCCAAAGCACTCAACACGTTCTCTCCACCAGTCGGAAGTGAATGGGAACTACTCACTGTTTCAGGGGGTCCCCACCCAGCTCCCTCTGCTGGTGAGCCACAGGAGCAGCGCGGGGCCAAAGCCCTTTCCTGGGTTTGGAGTCCCTTCCAGCCTAGGCAGTGGGTGCCTGCCTGGAACAGTGAACAGTGCCTGTGGCTTGGGGACCATCATGCTGCTCTGTGCTCCGTTTCCGTCGTCCATCGCCCAACGTCCTTGTAATACCATGTCTTGTCCTGAGGTGTCTTCGTCCCTCTTTGGAGATGGTGTGGTGGATTGTGCCATTGGGACCAGAAACCCTATTTGTTCATTTGCACTCACAAAGGAAAAATGTGAGGGAATTTGTTAGAGTATAAGATACAGGCGATGGTTCGTGGATTTTTTTCTATTTGCCCACTTTTCATTTGAAAGGAAAAAAATTGTGAAAGAAAAAGCCCCAGAGCTGTGACATCACCTTCCTCTATGGTTGTCACAGCTGTGTCCTGCCACCGTGCCTCATGCCCCTTATTTTCTCACTAGGACATGGCCAATGCATTTGCACAGAAGCACCTTCGATCCATAATCCTAAATGTAAGTTTCCGAAACAAGCTGTATTTTGTTACTGTTGTTTTGTTACTATTAATAACAATTATTACCATTATTATAGTTGTATTATTGTTGAAATTACCATTGAGTGGGTTGGGCACTCAGAGAGAACTTACCAATAGGAACTAAACACTCAAGGTGAAAAGCTTTTTTGTAATCCTCTATAGGCAGAGTTGTCTCTAGGAGGCTGCTGGCCCACCAGGGATTGATTGCAAAGCCTCACAGGAGACACTGAGGCCAGCTGTACTGTTTGTTGTCTGGCAGATCCAAACTTGTTTATCTAGAGGGAATGTGTTAAAATGAGCACAAAAAAGGAAGGTAACTCGTTGAGTTAACACGGGTCATAAACCTGAGTGTGTGGGGCACCAGCAGGGATGAATAAGACAGTGTGTTTGCTCTCGAAGAACTTCCAGTCCAGTAGGAAAGATGAGTGGTCATGGCACCTGTGGTCAGGTTCCGTAGAGATGCGTGTCTGGGAGACTTCAGAGGAGGGCAGTCAGTCCTGTGTTGGAGGAGAGGTGTCAGGTAGCCTCTAGAGGACTGTCTTCAGGGGAGGCTGAGGGCAAGCAAGCAGACCAGAGAGAAAAGGAGTGGGGGGTGGGGGCTCGGAGCCAGACGGAGTGTGTGATGGGTAGAGGGTGAAGCAAGGAGCAGATCTGTGGTGAGACTGCAGATAGCAAAGACCACATCAAGTAGGGTCTTAGTCTTTTTCCTAAGGGCAGTTGAGGGGATTTAACCAGGATCATGAAGTAACCAGACTAGCATTTTAGAAAGATCATGCTCCAAAATCTCTGTGTTTCCCAAGGGGTGTGTTAGCAAGGAAAGTAGAGTAGGAGGTGGTGGGGAGGGGGAGGCATCTGGAAAGAGGTCTAATTCCTTGTTACCAGGGTGGTGAAGTGGGGTGGGAGGGAACCGAGGTGGGAAATGGGGACAGTGGGAGCGGGAAAGAACCAAGGATCTAAATTAAAAGACGGCCATTTTATCAGTTGTCAAAAACAAGGGAGAACTGGGAGAGCACAGTGAAGAAATTCGGAGTCAAGTGTGAAAGACTTACTAATTCTGAACATGAACTTGGGAATCACCAGCACCCACTCTGCCATTAGCCAAATCTTTGATCTTGAGTAATTCACTTAACTTCTGTGGGCTTCGATGTGCTCCTCTGGATGTGAGAACAAAATGAGCTAATATATATACAGTGCTTAGCAGGGTGCCTGGCATGTGGTAAGTGCTGTGCTTACATTGGCAGTTTCTTTGTGAACAAGATAGAACAGCTGAAAGAATTCAAGAAGTAAGCTCCGAGTACTTGTGAAGTCCAGTGATCAGCTGATCTAAACACGAGGAGCCTGTCAGACTTCACTGTGCAGAACTAGCTCTTGCCTACTGGCCATTCCCTGGTCACAGCCCAAGGGCAGCCCACAGGAGGGACCTGAGCGAATGCTCAAGCACTCTGCCTGCAAGTGATGGAGAGCACAGTGCCCACGCCTTCTCGTCCACGCTCCTCTTCGCGTGTGGGAGCAACGATGCCCTTGTGAGGGAAACTTAATGAATTTTGAGACTTTTTATTTACTTGGATGAGGTTATGACAAGCTAAGATTCCACTACAGAAGACAGTTCAGTGTCAGGGACTTGGCTAGTCTGCTAGGAAATGGTATGCATGCTCACTTAAGTCCAGGAGGTTAACTGAGTCCAGCCAAAGAACATAGGCCTGGAAGTATCTGACAGCAAATAGGATGTAGGTAAAACTCACCCAACTGGAGCTGTACTTCTTTAAGCCATTGATGGCTAGAGTATTACCTTCCCACAATGATGTGTCTGAGTTTGAGAAAGGGGGTTAAATGAATGAAAACCAACATCACATTAACTTTAACCTCTCTTTAAAGTGGTTTATGAGTTCTGGAGAGGTGAGGCGGAAGGAGTAGGGATAGACAGGTGGTGAGAAATTGGAGTGGTAGAGTGGGGGAATATAGAGAAAGGAAGAGGCTCAGAGTGAGGGGCAAAGAAGAGGTGTCAGTGGGACAGTAGAGCAGTGACAGAGAAAGAGCCTGGGCAAAGAGTCTGGGGGGAGAGAGGGAAGGGAAGCTTACGGGGAGAGCAGAGAATGAAAAAGTAAGCTTGGGGAGATGGAGACAGACAGAGACTGCGCTGAAAGGAGAGACAGAGAGGGAGCACATGGGACAGAGGGAGGGATGAGGGCGTTAGCACACCCTCTAGCAAGAGAGCGGGGCAGCTTTGTCCAGTAGAAATTTCTGCAGCTGTGGAAGTGCTGTCCCAAATGGTAGCCACTAGCCACACGTGGCTGTTGAGCTCTTTAAATGTATCCAGTCTGACTGGGGAACTTAATTTGTCATTTTTTAAAATTTAATTGAAATTGAAATGTGGCTTGTGGTTACTGTTTGGGCTGTACAGAGCTAGAGAGAGAAAGAGACAGGAAGGGAAAGCACTCTGGCATCTCACGGTGGGGAGATGAGGCCTAGCAGTGCCATCCTATGAAAATATAGGGACTACTTATTTTATTTGATACTAGAAGCCCAATGCACAAAATTGGTGCAAGGGGCTCGGCCCTCGCAGCCCTGGCTTCGTCCGTCTGGAAGGTCGTCTGGACAGTCATTCTGCTGTTGCACCATTTGGTCGATTTGCATATTATGCTTTTCTTATTATACATGTTCTAGCAGCAATGTTGAAAAAGGAATAGAGGAAATTAATTTCAGTAACATTTCATTTAACCCAGTCTATCTAAAACACTGTGATTCCAACATATAATCAATAGGAAAATCATTAATGAGATACTGTACATTTTGTTTTTACATACAAAGGTTCTGAGGTCTGGTGTGCCTTCATTGACAGCATGTCTCAGTCTGGACTAGCCACATTGCCAATGTTCAACAGCCACATATGGCTAGAGGCTACCAGAGTCGACTTCACGGGTCTAATAAGTTTGCTCTCCAGCCGAGCAGGCCCCAGAGAGCTGATCTGAAGTTAGAGGGAGCTCGAAAAAGATACTGATGTAGAGTTAGAAGCTCTGTAGAACTGTCTGATAGAACTTTCTGTGATAATGGAAATGTTCCATTTCTGCCCTACCATCTGGTGGCAGCCACTAGCCACATGTGCCTGGTGAGCTGAAAATGTGTCTAGTGCTACTAAGGACCTGAATTTTCAACTTAAATTCATTGTAAGTGACTTAAATGCAAGTAGCCCCATATGGCCAGGGGCTGTCCCATTGGACAGCACAGGCCCCTAGAGACACAACTAGACTGAGTAAGAGAACACAAAGGATCCAGGGAAACTGGGCAAGAGTCTCATTTGGCCGAGAAAAGAGCAAGAGTGACAGGATTCAAGATGGTCGTGAGATAAAGTGGGGAAGCGAGAAATACAGGAAGCAAGCAGGAAAGAGCAGGCTCTTGTGGGAGTGAGAACAGGACAGCTTGAGACAGGAACATAACCAGCATTGCTCAGCCCGGAGCGTATGGGGAAAGACAGAGCGAGCATGAGAATAGGAGAGGGGTAGGCATCAGAGGAACAGAGGGAGGAGGTGATGAGCTGAGGGGGGACCAGGGCCATGGAAAGAGAGCAGGGAGAACAAGTTAGAGGAGGGAGAGGGACATGGTGGGAACACAACACAGGGAGGAGAGAGAAAAGAAGGACAGTTGTAGGAGACGAAGGAGGGAGGGGCGAGTGAGGAGGGTTGGACAGGAGCATTAGATGCCCCCCTTTTATATAGGTGTCTCCATGTCATTTAAAGAAAAGGATCTTTTCTAAAGCCTCTCTTTACCAAAACATTTTATTTTTCTAAGAGAAAACAAAGAACCATACTGTCCAATTCCACAAGCAAGTCTTTCTCTGTGCCCACTAGCTATCGTCTTGGATTGTCTTGGATCTCTTTAGACCTGCAGTTCAATTTGGTAGCCACTAGCCACAGGTGGCTGTTGAACACTTGAAATGTGTCTAGTCCAAATTAAAACTAGTAATTACTTACCTGATTGAAATAAGGTCCAGCCGCTGAGCTCCCATATCATAGTCTTAGTGGGGTAAGAGAAGAGGATGGTGCCCTCTGGCCTGCAGTGAATCCTCTCTGCCTGAATCAAGCCTATTCATGCTCCATCCCCTTCGAGAACACGAAGTCCTTGTGTGTGGGAGGAAAGCCCTGTTCCTTGCCCAGTCTACTTTTTCACCAGCATGGATGTGACTCTTTAGTAAAAGAAAATCAGTTCAGCCCCTTGCTCCCTGCCTGTGCTTTTTCCAGCATGTGATCCGAGGGAACCGCCCAATCAAAACTGAGATGGCCCATCAACTGTATGTCCTACAAGTCCTGACCTTTAACCTTCTGGAAGAAAGGATGATGACCAAGATGGACCCCAATGACCAGGTAGGCGCTAAGTGGGGCAGAGCTTCACTGGCTTAAGCTGTGTGCTGTTGGATGTACTGCACTCCACCCTCAGGCTGTGTACTGAGCACCTGCTGTGTGCCAGGGACCTTGCTTAGATGTGTCTGCACAAACGGTTTGGTCTGCTCTGAGAAATCCAGCTGTGTGCTTCCCATGTCCTCTTCCTGCTGGTGACCCTCTGCGCCAAGCCCACCTCTGTTCTGCTAAGGAAGAGGTGATGCCTCTTCAGAGATCCATCGGGGCCAGAGTTCTGCCCAAGCCCCACCCACTCTTTTCCTTGCTTCCCTTGGTTAGCTGATTCACCTGCTGGCTGTCTGTTTCACCTCAGGCTCAAAGAGACATTATATTCGAACTGAGGAGGATTGCATTTGATGCAGAGTCTGACCCGAGCAATGTCCCCGGGAGTGGGACTGAAAAACGCAAAGCCATGTATACCAAGGACTACAAAATGCTGGGATTTACTGTAAGTTTCCCAAAGCACAGACCTGCGCAGGCCTTCTGCTCTGACAGGAAGTCAGAGGGCCCACCCAAGTGAGTCCTGGGCACCCCTTCATAACAGTGGCCCTGGAGTAGATGACACTGAGAAGCTGGAGGGCCTTGATGCTCAGTTTGCTTATGCAATGGCAGAGTCACAAGTTTATGTGCAACATTTGGCCCTGTGAAAAAAGCCATCTGTAAGCAGGTCCGGGAGGTCAGCCATATGGATGGAGAGGAGGCCTCTCACCACAGCAGTGAGGTTCTTTGAAAAGTAGGCGTGGGTATTTTGTGATAGGATACAGCTTGAGGATGGAGTTAATTCAATTAAGTATTTATTATGTACCTACTCAGTGCCCAGCAGTGTGCTGTATGCTGGGGTTACAAGGTGAGTCAGCCCAGTGGTCAAGGGCTCACAGTCTCATAGTAGCGACGGGCACGGAAAGAGTACAATAGATGTAGGTCTGCAGCGCTAGCAGCATTCAGATGAGGGGCAAGGGCTTCCCCTCAGGTGACACTGCACACAGAAAGACCGCCAAGTCGAAAATCAGGTTTCTTCTTCCTGCAGAACCATATCAACCCAGCAATGGACTTTACGCAGACTCCTCCTGGAATGCTGGCCTTGGACAACATGCTGTACTTGGCTAAAGTCCATCAGGACACCTACATCCGGGTAAAGGCTGGGGCCAGCTTTCTCAGCCCTGGTACCATATCTCTGGCCTCCCCCCTCTCCCTCCCTAGTCCTCTCCTCTCTCACCTCCTTTTCCTCTCCTCCCCAGATTGTCCTGGAGAACAGCAGCCGCGAAGACAAACATGAATGCCCCTTCGGCCGCAGTGCAATTGAGCTTACCAAAATGCTCTGTGAAATCCTCCAGGTTGGGGAACTACGTAAGTCTGTACAGCAGCCCTGTAATTGGGAGCTGAGTGAGCTGTGATCAGCTTATCCTTGTTAATGGGAGTCTTGGGTATTGCTTTGTTCAAGCTGGCAGTTTGAACATGTTCAAAAGCTATGCCACCATCCACTCCCAGGTGCAAGGACTGGCTGAGTCTGTCACAGGGCAGAGGTGGACCAAGAGCAAGTGCCCTGGAGAAAAAGGCTCAGGAATTGGGAACGGCCCCTCCTACACTCATCACTAGCCCTGGTCCTCGTCATGGTTTTGTTCTTCAGGACTTTGGTGCAGAGGATCCAAAGTTTCTGGACATGAGCACCCAGCTCATCCCTTTCCTGCCTCTTTTCTCCCATAGCAAACGAAGGACGCAATGACTATCACCCGATGTTCTTTACCCACGACCGAGCCTTTGAAGAGCTCTTTGGAATCTGCATCCAGCTGCTGAACAAGACCTGGAAGGAGATGAGGGCAACAGCTGAGGACTTCAACAAGGTCAGTGTCACAGAGCTCTGAGGTCCAATGGGCTGAGACCATCACCTGACAGCCTGTGACAGCTGGCCAGAGCCGGGGAAATGCCTGAACTGGAAAACCAGCCTGATGTGCAGCAATACGTCACAAGACTGAGGCATTGTCCCCTCTGGTTGTGCTTCCTCTGTCACCTTGAGCAGATGTCTTCCCCTTGGTGCCCTGGGCCCCTCATTTGCCCCTGGAGCCAGACTCACCCCTCCTGTCTTCCTTAGGGGCCAGGAGGATAAGCACAGTAATAGCTGTGGTTGCTGAGCACTTACTGTGTGCAGGCACTGTTGCTGTTTTGTGCACTGGAAGCATCAGGGAGAGGTTGGAGTGGATTGGCATGATATGCAAGTCATGGATACCTACTCAGAAGTCATTCCTCCATGCTTTCTGAGTACCCATCTCGGTGAAGCACACAGGGCCCTCAAAAGCTGGTACTCTAGACTTGAGTGTTTTGAAGCTGATCATCTCATTGTAAAAAGTTTGGGAAGAACTTTTAAGCATATTCAGTATAAGGAAGAAAAAGTTTGCTAGAATTTCACCACAGTGATGACCATTTTTTATGTGTTTCCCTGTAGTCCTTTTTTCCTGTAGATTTTTCCTTCATTGATGGAGAGCTGACCGGATGTGCAGTGTGATATTCTGTTTTTCCTTTAACTGTTGTTTTAGGGGAAGTAACACATTTTTTTGAACATATCACAGTGTGCCAGGCACTGTGCCTCCATATAGCATCTCATAATCCTTCAGGCAGCACGTATCAGAAGATGTGTCTTTCTCTCTCCCTTTAAACTGTAGGGGGAGAGTGCTAAGTGACTTATTCAAGGAACAGGTGAAGGGACAGAGTCAAGATCTAAATCCATTCCTCTCTGACTCCAAAAACCTATGCTTATTCCACACCGTTGACTAATTGAAATGTATGAGAAATAAGGCATTTGTCACCATCAGTCATTTGTCCTAATAACCACCCGAGGAGGTGTTCCTTAGCATGTCGGTGCTCTGTTCCCCAGCACACATCTGTAGTCCTGCTGTGCTCAAGACCCGGGCACAGGCCAAGCCTTGGTGCCCAGAGGCAGCCTGTCTGTGTGGCAGAGCAGGGGCGAGCGGGCTGCCTTCTTCCTTCCCTCTTAGGTTATGCAGGTCGTCCGAGAGCAGATCACTCGTGCTCTGCCCTCCAAACCCAACTCTTTGGATCAGTTCAAGAGCAAACTGCGCAGCCTGAGCTACTCTGAGATTCTGAGGCTGCGCCAGTCCGAAAGGATGAGCCAGGATGACTTCCAGTCCCCGCCGATTGTGTAAGTACCATCCCGTAGGGGGCAAGGTGGGGGAACCCAGCCCCACTCTGTCTTCCTTCCAAAGCTTCACTGTGACCTCCTTCCCCGGTACATGGCCACCTCAGGGAGCTGAGGGAGAAGATCCAGCCCGAGATCCTGGAGCTGATCAAGCAGCAGCGTCTGAACCGGCTCTGTGAGGGCAGCAGCTTCCGGAAGATTGGGAATCGCCGAAGGCAAGGTGACAGGGGCCTGGGGCACATGCGGTCCTACTGCCCAGAGCCACTCCACGGGGAGGGAGCCTGCCTTGGTGGGCCCTGCAGGGAGCAGGCAGGGAACACAGCATCCTCTGCCTGTGTGTGCCCAGGCCTTTCCCAGAACTGTCCTTGCTCACCTGTTTGGCTTCCCTTGTGTTCCAGAACGTTTCTGGTACTGCCGCTTGGCACTGAACCACAAGGTCCTGCACTATGGTGACTTGGACGACAACCCTCAAGGGGAGGTGACATTTGAATCCCTGCAGGAGAAAAGTAGGTTCATTTCTCTATTGCTGTGACTTGGTAGCTGGACTCGATGTCAGGAGAGTTCTAGTCCTGGCTGTTTCAAGCTGATTGTCTGGTCTTGGGCCAGATGTCTCTCTGGACCCATTTCCTCATCTGTCAGAGGTCATCTCTATTTGCCTCCCTCACAGGGCTATTTGGAGAATTCGGTGAGATCACAGAGGGGTATGGGCTTTGCAGATTGTAAAGGGTGATACAAAACAGAGTTGAAAGGTGGTGGTTAAGAGCAGACTGCTTGGATTCAAATCCTGGCTTTGCCACTAATTCTAATTAATTCTGATTAATTCTAATTAATTTCGAGTTCATTCTCCTCTCTGCCTTTTTTCTTCTGTCAGAATAATAACCATATCTCCCTCATAAGAGGATTGAATGCCTAGTCTATGTAAAGCACTCAGAACCAGTAGCAGGTGAAACTGTTAGCTGCCGCCACTGCTGTTTGCTGTGGTGTTGTTGTCACTGTCATTACTGTGACGTGAAAGTGAGGTGTCAGAGGCCCGTGCCTTGGGGAAACGATCCAAAAGCCCAGTCAGATTTGACACAGCCCTGCAGGCCATGGTTCATGGCCAGTGACCCCAGAGGGGGAACAATACAAAGCCACACACCCTGAGCTGATACAGCTCTTTGAGTCTGGGGGCTGAGGCTTCCCTTCGAGCACCCGAGCAAGGACCAACTTGCACCATGAAGCTCCCAGAAACTAATTCCCTTCATTGATCAGTTCCTGTTGCAGACATCAAGGCCATTGTCACTGGGAAAGATTGTCCCCACATGAAAGAGAAAAGCGCTCTGAAACAGAACAAGGTGAGTGCAGAGGCAGTCCTGAGTCTGAGCTGCTGTCACAGGGATTCCTGGGTACAGGCGGTGGTGGCCGTCTTTTAGGTGCATGCTCTCGCTCGCATCCTGTCTCTCTCTAATGCCTGAATGTTTTATTAAGAATAATTTTGAAGATACAGAAAAATAGGTAGCACCCCCGTATATGCATCATCCAGCCTCAACAGCCATGGCAAAGTACGTGTCTACCTTCCTCCCTTTGTTACTTTGGAGAAAACCCTGAGTGCTACATCATTCCATCTGTCAGTATGTAGAATGTGTCTCCAGATTATGAGGACTCCTTTAACATAATCACAACAGCATCATCACATCTAAAAAGAAATGAAAATTGTTATTTAATGTCAACTATTCCATTGATGTTTGAACTTCCACAATTGTTTTTTAAACAGCATAATTTCTCTGTATAAATATGCAAATGCGATACGTATAGACATACAAACACTCAGCCCCGTTTTGTTTGTTAAGTCAGCATCCAAAGAGAGGCTACCCTTTGTGATTAGTCTTTTAAGTTTGTTTTTTTAAAATGTGGAACACTTCATGAATTTGCATGTCATCCTTGCACAGGGGCCATGCTAATCTTCTCTGTATCGTTCCAGTTTTAGTATATGTGCTGCCAAAGCGAGCACCTTTTAAATTTCTTAATTCATAAGTTCCCCCTCCATCTTTTCCACCTTTATTTCTCTTTGCAGTTTATTAGTTGAAGGAACCAAGTTGCTTGTTTGGTAGTTTCCCAGAGTCTGAAATTTGCTGATTGTCTCCCCACAGTGCAGTTTAACTTGCTCCTCTGTCCCAGATCTGTACACTGAGGGAGAGCTCGAGAGGCTTGATCCAGTTCAGGTGTGACCTTTTTTTTTTTTTTTTTTAATAAGACTACTTCCTAAAGGTCTCATGTTCTATCAGAGACACATACCATGTGGCTGTCTCTCTTTTTGTGGTGTCAGTTCCCCGAATGCTCAATGCCTCGTTCCGCTAGTAAATTGAGGCTTGATAGCTAGTGATATTCTAATGCAGCCCGTCCTTTTCATTTATTAGCTGAACTACTTCTCTAAAGAGAAACTTGCTGTCACCTACTGTTGGTTTCCCAGTGGTACAGTTTATGTAAGAAAGGAGGGTAAATGCTTGATTCTTTCCTAGTGTGTACCTAGAGTTAGTTCCCTGATATCATCCAACAGTGACCAATTATGTGTATGTGTCTTGTTTTATTTTCCAGTATGATTATGAACTCAGGGTTTAAGCAAATTCTATTTTTTTCAACCCATTATAGTTATGTTGTTGATGCTCACATTTCCCTATCTTTGGTCACAATTTGTTTTCATTGTTGTGGTTTTAAACTGTTAACACCTTTCAGTTTAATTACCAAGATACATATTTGAGGTAATACACAATCATGGACTCTGACATTCTGAAGCTTCTGAGTATTGAGTAATAACTTCTCTCCAATCTTAAAAGTATCACCACATCATAGGCGTGACTTGGGTGGGGAGGGGTGAGTTCAGGTTGATCAGTCACCACTGGGCCCCATCTCCAGCCACTTGTGTGCACGTGCCCTGGGGCTGGATGGCATCACATATGAATCAGCATATTTGGTGATGGTGCCAACTCACCAGGACTTTGGCCAAGATCTTGGTGTGCAGGGCCCAGGCCAGTCGATTGCTCCACTAACGGAAACCTTTCTCCTTCAGGAGGTGTTGGAATTGGCGTTCTCCATCCTCTATGACCCCGATGAGACCTTAAACTTCATTGCACCTAATAAGTATGAGGTGAGCGGTGTGACGCTGCCTTGCACAGCCCAGCCCTCTCTGCGATTCTTCAGCCAGAGGGCAGAAACGGGCACAACGGGAACGTCCTGTCCCCCTAAAGCAGGAGGCCATAGCCTGTCATGGAGGCTGTTTGACACAGGGTCTGCCACCCAGGGTCCTTTTCCCCAGAGCCGGGCCCTCCAGGTCACTCTTCAGCAGTAGCTGTAGGTTGTCATTAGCAAGACAGGGCCAACTAGGGCTAACTTATTTGCTGGGACTAGGAAAAGTTTCCTCTTTTCAGTTTCTGTGGCCACCTACCTAGGGAACCTAACAGATGCCCCTCCGCAGGGCTCCTGGCCATATGTAGTAGATCTGGCCTGGGCTTTGAAGCCAGATGGCCCTGGTCCTGCTGACACTGGCTCGCAGTTTCAATTGCAGCCCTGGAAGATACCAGATGTTACCCGAGTCACTGCGGTTGAGACCACACGTGTCTGGGGAGCTCTGAGCCATCAGAGGAAACTGGAGGCGGGGCTTCTGGAAGAGGAGACCGTTAGGAGGGGCCTGAGCTGCCAGCAGAGCTTTATTGGGAGGAAGTGAAGAACTAGCAGGTGGGGAGGGAGACGGAGCAAAGGCACAGAGAAAGATGGAGCAGGAGGCCAGGGAGGGCTGAGAGGTCCCTGTCATTCCCTCTCATCATGAGGCCTTCCAATTCAGTTTCTCTAGTACTTAATTTTGACATTTATTGACTGGGTGGGGTTTTTGTTGTTGTTTTTGTTTACTTTTTTAAAAACAAAAGTGAGTCCCACAGTGGTTCTTTTTGTGTCCTGTTCTTTTCACCTAATTTGTATTCTCCCCTCCCCATTACTAATTTCAGGGGCAATTTCAGGTAGTTGATGCCTCAGTTCTCAGGTCTGGTTTTGCTGTGTTCTTTAATTGTATTTTTTAAAATCATATTTTATATTATCTTAGGGAGTTTAAATGTCAATCTCCCATAAAAGCCAAAAGGTCAGGCCTCCTGGTACTTACCACAGGCTGTGTTCTTACACTGACTGTACAGAAATAGGAGGCAGAGTAAACCCACCCCATATACACCTCAGCTCAGGCTCCTTGCCTGGTCTGTATTGTGAATGGGGAGACATTGAGAAAAACAACAACACAAAACCCAAAAGGTCTTTTAAGAAAGTGAGCAATTTACCTTTGCTATTATCCCAAGCCAGTTTTGCCTACACTGAGTAGTTCCAAAAGAGACCAGAGTGAATCCTAGGAAAAGGACCTTGGCAGGACCTCCTGCTGTCCATGGCCCCTGCTGATGTTCTGCAACTTGCTCCCCCAGTACTGCATCTGGATTGACGGCCTCAGTGCCCTTCTGGGGAAGGACATGTCCAGCGAGCTGACCAAGAGTGACCTGGACACCCTGCTGAGCATGGAGATGAAGCTGCGGCTCCTGGACCTGGAGAACGTCCAGATCCCGGAAGCGCCCCCACCGGTGCCCAAGGAGCCCAGCAGCTATGACTTTGTGTATCACTATGGCTGAGCCTGAGCCAGAGGCGACGGCACCCAGGAAGGCATTTGGGACCCAGGAGAAACACTCACAGTCTGGTGCCTTGTCTTTTACTTGTACAGAATCCGTAGGGACCATGGTGGCCAGTAAATGCCAACCATTCCTTCAGGCCACCTCTGACCACCCAGAGCTTCCTCTTGGTCCCCATCCACTATGAGTCATGAAGGCAGGTGCTCTGCCCTCCCTGGCTTCAGGCCATGAGGAATGAACAGCAAATGCCCTTGCTCTTCAGGCCAAGAGACTGCTTTTTGAGCTGGATTTAACAACAGCCACTCACCTTTTCTTCCTGAGCCTGCTCCCCAGTGGTCAGCTGGCTCCCATGTGGGCAAGAGCTGGCCCAGGAAAGGCTGCCTGCAGAGGACAGGGCTGGGCATGTTGAGAGCCTTGCAGAGACTGCCTTTGGGTGACCCCGTGCCTGTGTCTCAGATCTAAGTAGAGGCCTTGCCCTTGCTTTTGTCATCTTTGTGAGGGCTCACTCCGGCCTCAAACAGCGCCAACATGTGGCTGCTGCTGAGGTTCGGCACTAACATCTCGTCTCGGGATCCACCAGGTCTCTCTTGCCCACGCAGTTGTCTGGGCAGATGGAAATGTCTCCCTACAAGCTCACAATCTCCCATCCTGGCAAGTCAGAGACATGAAGGCTGAGTCCCACCCTCTTAGTCTCCAGACTCTGCAGGGAGAGCCAGGGTGAGCCTGGGCCTAGCCTGTGGTGAGGTCACTAGAGTCACCTCCCCTCCCCTCACTTACATGTTTCCCTTCCTCCGGGAGAGACCTCCCACCTAACCTGCAGTGCAGCCTCCAGGTGGCTTTCCTTTGGCCTTCCAGACCTTGGGAAGTTTGGCTTCCCTTCCTTCCCATCCCAGTGCTGTGGTTCCTGCCATTGGCCATGATTTCAGGGAGCTGGCTGGAGGCCACAGCTGTGCCAATGGCCTTTCCTGGTGCTGTCGCACTTGTAGACCACATGCACAGCCTCTCTCCTTGGACATATGTGAACACAGTGGCATTCAGTTTTGGTAGCTGGCATGGTAGGTACTACCCAATGAAGAGTGTACTATATATTTTCTTTACTATAGGCCATACTTATACAGACATGTATATATATTTATATAAGATCTACCTATCCTAGGATGGAATGTTTGAGGGATTATAAAATTGGAAGCAAAAAAAAAAAAGTAACACTTCCAGTTGTGAGCCAAGATTGTAACGTGAGAGCAGCCAGGAGCTTCCTGTCAGTAACATGTTTTCAATAAATACTCTTTCATGTACAAACTGATTCCTACTTCCTACTAACAGCTCTTTCTCTGTTACTGGCTTCCTGCCCAAGGGAACTTTCACCTTGACAAGCCTTCATTTCATTGTGTCTGGGAGACTTGAGAGAGCGCCAACCGGAGTCCTCAGCCACCTTCCAAGGGCCCCTTTCTCCTCTTCAACCACCCTGCCTCTCCCCCACACACACCTGCTGGGTAAAGATGCTCACAGATTGTCACATCAGGACAAAGTGTTTTCTGCTCGGGCCTGCTGAGTGCATCAGGGAAAGACACTGTACACCCCCATGAACACATCCTCCCTCTTCTTCCTGCCAGGGACACAGCCAGGGAACAGTTTGAGTGCTTGTACCTTACAAAGAACACACCTTCTTCACCCCGTGTGTCGCCATGCTTAGTGCCCAGCCTTCCAGGTGACGTTGTAGGCTGTTGCTCCAAGCCTCAGCCTTGGTAGTAGGGAGGCCTGAATGAGGGCCGTGGTGAAAATACTTCTGTCTTGCCTCTGAGAGAGAAGGGGGCAAGGACAAGCTCTTTCAAACTGCATAGAAAGTGCATGCAGTACAGGCCTTGAGGACTGAATAGACAGACCTTGGGAGCGATGGGTGCCATTGTAAGTGATTAAGCGCAGAACGAACTCATGCCTGTGAAATGCCAGCTGCTGGTGGTGAGGGCAGCAGTGGTTTGCATGATAAACCGCTGACACTCTGGCCTTGAACCTTCTGTTCAGAGCAGCCAGGGAACCCAGCTGAGTCACTTGTAAGGATCCATGTTTGCAGCCAGTCTTAGAGCCAAAGCCCAGGAGGGGATTGGAGTCAGAGGGGGACACAAAGCCCCAAAGTGGGCCTCAGTCTTCAACCCTACCCTGCTCCGTCCTAATGGATCTCCCTGTCTGCTCTGATGGCTCTGCCCCTTTCAGTCCATCCTGCGAGATGAGTAAGATCTACACTCCGCCGCTGGCATTTTGGGACCACTGCGTCCTGTGCCTTGGCTACTTTTCCCACCACAGTTTTGGTCCTTATCTTTCTCCTCCTCTCCTGTTTCCCGTCTCCCTTTACTCAACCTATTGAACTGGAGATCATTCTTATAAAGTTTCAGGCACACAGAAAATGGTTCACAAACGTTTATTATTTACTATCTTCCATGGACCTTCTAAATCCTAAAGCAGTGGTTCTCAACCTGTGGGTCGCGACCCCTTTGGGGGTCAAACGACCCTTTAACAGGGGTCGCCTAAGACCATCGGAAAACACATATGTAATTACATATTGTTTTTTTTTGTTTGTTTGTTTTTGTTTTTGTTTTTTTTTTTTTATTGCTTAAAGTATTACAAAGGGTATTACATATGTGTCCATTTTATCCCCCCGCCCTAGACAATCCCCTAGCCTCCCCTATCCCCCAATGTCTTATGTCCACTGGTTATGCTTCTATGCATGCATACAAGTCCTTTAGTTGATCTCTTACCCCCCTACCTCCTGCCCCGCAACCCTCCCCGGCCTTCCTGCTGCAGTTTGACAATCTGTTTGAGGCAGCTCTGCCTCTGTATCTATTATTGTTCAAAAGTTTATAATGGTCTCTATTATCCATGAATGAGTGAGATCATGTGGTATTTTTCCTTCATTGACTGGCTTATTTCACTTAGCATAATGCTCTCCAGTTCCATCCATGACGTTGCAAATGGTAAGAGTTCCTTCCTTTTTAGAGCAGCATAGTATTCCATCGTGTAGATGTACCACAGTTTTCTAATCCATTCATCTACTGATGGGCACTTAGGCTGTTTCCAGATCTTAGCTATGGTGAATTGTGCTGCTATGAACATAGGGGTGCATATATCCTTTCTGATTGGTGTTTCTGGTTTCTTGGGATATATTCCTAGAAGTGGGATCACAGGGTCAAATGGGAGTTCCATTTTCAGTTTTTTAAGGAAACTCCATACTGTCTTCCATAGTGGCTGCACCAGTCTGCATTCCCACCAGCAGTGCACAAGTGTTCCTTTTTCTCCACATCCTCTCCAGCACTTGTCGTTTGTTGATTTGTTGATGATAGCCAGTCTGACAGGTGTGAGATGGTACCTGATTGTTGTTTTGATTTGCATCTCTCGGATGATTAGTGACTTTGAGCATGTTTTCATATGTCTCTTGGCTTTCTGAATGTCCTCTTTTGAAAGGTGTCTATTTAGGTCCTTTGCCCATTTTTTGATTGGATTGTTTATCTTCCTTTTGTTAAGTTGTATGAGTTCCCTATAAATTTTGGAGATTAGGCCCTTATCGGATATGACATTGGCAAATATGTTTTCCCACACAGTGGGTTTTCTCGTTGTTTTGTTGATGGTTTCTTTTGCTGTGCAGAAGCTTTTTATTTTGATGTAGTCCCATTTGTTCATTTTCTCTTTAGTTTCAAGTGCCCTAGGAGCTGTATCAGTGAAGAAATTGCTTCGGCATATGTCTGAGATTTTGTTGCCTTTGGATTCTTCTAGAATTTTTATAGTTTCCTGTCGTACATTTAAGTCCTTTATCCATTTTGAGTTTATTTTTGTGTATGGTGTAAGTTGGTGGTCTAGTTTCATTTTCTTGCATATATCTGTCCAATTTTCCCAGCACCATTTATTGAAGAGACTATCTTGGCTCCATTGTATGTTCTTGCCTCCTTTGTCAAATATTAGTTGAGCATATTGGTTCGGGCTGATTTCTGGGCTCTCTATTCTATTCCATTGATCTATATGCCTATTCTTGTGCCAGTACCAGGCAGTTTTGAGAACAGTGGCTTTGTAATACATCTTGATATCTGGTATTGAGATCCCACCTACTTTGGTCTTTTTCAGGATTGCTTAAACGACCCTTTAACAGGGGTCGCCTAAGACCATCGGAAAACACATATGTAATTACATATTGTTTTTGTGATTAATCACTATGCTTTAATTATGTTTAATTTGTAACAATGAAATTGGGGGTCACCACAACATGAGGAACTGTATTAAAGGGTCGCGGCATTAGGAAGGTTGAGAACCACTGTAAAATGTAGTGCTCTGACGCAGCACTCCCCAGCTGGCTTGTGCAACCAGAAGAAAAAGCCCGTGAGGGTGATCTCTGCAGTTCCTTCCATGATTGCCCAGCACGGGCTTGGAACAAGGTTAACAACTGGTTCAATAGAAGTAAATACGTGACACTTTTCTGGGTGCCCCGACTCTGCAGCCAGCAGGTACGGAGGCTCCAGAGCGAGGCCCCGGTGATCACAGCACGAGGGGGTGCCGGGCGCCGGGCTGCGGAAGGAGTGGCGGGGAGGACACGCCACGCGGGGTCACGGCGGACTGGGAGAGAGAACCCAGCTCCCAGGCCCGCCCCGCCCCCGCGGCAGGCGCCCCGCCCCCCAGTGGCTTCGGCGGAAATGCTCCTGCGACCACGCAACGCCGGCCTCGCACTTCCGGCAGGAGGATCGCGGCCGGGAGCGCCCGGGCCGAGGTGAGTGGGCGCGCCGCCGGCCTCCGCGCGCTCCCGGGGGCGGGAGGGGGAGCCGGTCCGGCCGGGCTCTGCGGGGCGCGCCTGGGAGCCTGCCCCGCGCGGAGGGGACCGAGCCTCGCGCGCCCTCGCGGGCCGCCCTTCGCGCGCGCTGTCCTGGGCATTTCCCGGGCCCCGCGAAGCTGGCCTGGAGCCCGCGCGGCTCTGCCCGGGCCGAGGCTGCACCCGCTGGGGTGGGAGTGAGGGCCCGCGGAAAGCTCGTGGGCAAACCGGGAAGCGTCAGGTGGTGGGCGGTGCTGTGCGGACGCGGAGGGCCTGGAGGAGAGCTCAGCGCGCAGGGGGGTGTGGAACAGTGTTTCTGGCAGAGGGAACAGCAGGCGCAAAGGACGCAGCTGCCGTGCGTGACCCACCGCCGGGGCCAGCGTGCTGGGCGCCGAGGTGGCGGTGGGAGTGAGGTTGCAGCCGTCTTCCGAGGCCAGATGGTGGGAGGCGTTTTCGGGGACCTTCTGTGGAGTTGGGGTTCGCCCGAGGGCTGCTGAGCTGCTTTCTGTGCCCAAGCCCTCTCTCCAGGCGGCGGGCTGGGGGGGCGGGGGGGGGGCTGGGGGGGCGGAGGTGCGGGGACTGGAGACGTTGCAGTCAGCAGTGAAAGGTAATTGTGGTTAGACTCGATGGTGGAGTAGAGAAGCACAGAAGGTGGAGAAGTGTATTGGAGACGGAACTGACAGGACAGGGTTGGGGAAAGGGTAGCTTCTGCCGTGGATTTGGGGGGTTAGGCGTGAGGAATCAGCTGTGCTATGCTGGCATTTACTAGTGATGTTGGGGGCATGACTCAAGGACTCGGCTGGGGGCACCGTGAGTGTTAGGTGTCTTGAGTGGAGCCCAAGTTAGATGGACTGGCCTGGAGCCAGTAGGAAAGGGTGGGGCTCATGTAGGGAACTTAGAAATGGTTGGCATGTGGCTCAATGGGATGACATTACGCAAGATGCGAACAAGATAGAAAACAGAAGCCAGGTTCCAGCGGCAGGCTCCCGTTTGTAGAGGTTGGGTTGACCAAGAAGGAGTCCAGAGAAGCAGAGGAAACTCTGCCGAGTGTGGTGTGATATCCAAGAGGCTGTCCCGGGAGGAGGATATGGTCAGTCGTGTAAGATGCTGGTGAGACTAGAGACTTGGCCCTTGAAGGGACAAGTGACTCGGTGGGGCCGTGGGGACAGGCTGGGGACGGTTCACGGACCGGGAGGGGGTAAGCCCCTACCGCGAGCCAGCACCCCGCGCTGTACCTGATGCCACTGACTCCCCTCCCAGGAGGCTCATGATTTTATCCTCCTTTACAGTTGGGGAAACTGAGGTCCAGAAGTCAGTAACTTGGGTCATGAAATAGTAAGGAGGGGCCAGGATTGGATCCCAGGTCTTTCTCACTCCAGGCCCACACTTCTGAGCCCTCAGCTGCGCTGCCCATGTTCTAGTTGGGAACATGCTATGGTGATACACCAACTGATGTGGCGACTGCTCCGAGCTACGCTGCCCCTGAGGAAAGAAAGGCAGAATATGGGATTCCTTTCCTGGGCAAGTGAGATTTGAAAGAGCATTTGCTCCTTTAAGCCTGGTTTCCCTTATTGCAGAATAAGGGTGGGGACCTTATCGGTTACAGATTTCTGACCCCAGTGCTTGGTATACAGGAGTGCTCAATAAATGCACACTGAGTAAGTGGCTAGGTGATTTCCAAGAGCCCTACTAGCCGAGGTCTGCTGTGTTTGGGGTTAGGTGACCTTCTGGAAAGTAGTCGGAGAAGGAGTGCTGTTAACTTTGGGACAGTGCTCCCTGTGAGCCTGGGCAGTCATGGGGACTTCCTAGCGGTGGGGGACTTGCACCAGCTCTTTGAAGGAAGCAGGGCGGGTGGAGGGTGTTCGTGTTGGAGCAGGAACTGCAGCAAAGGCAGGAGGTAGGAGAAGTTGATTCACAGAAGGGTACAGACTGCCCTAGCTCGGAAGCCGTGGGTAGGACCACGGGGAGGGAGTGCTAGAAGATAGATGTCTTGGTGCCAGCTGCCCTGTGGTCACCTGTGTGGTGTAAGCAGTGCTTCTCATCAGGGAGCAGTTTTGCCCCCAGGAGACGCTCAGCAGTGTCCGGAGACTTTCCTGTTTGTCATTACTTGGGATGAGGGGCCGGGATGCCACAGGCATCTAGTGGTTAGAGATCGAATGCTGCTAAATGCCCTACAGTGCACAGGACAGGCCTTCTCTAATTGTCATTAATGCCAAGTGGAGAAACCCTGGTCTAGAGGAAGGAGTGTGAGCCTTGAGATCTGTTGGACCCCACTGCCTAGCTGTGTTAGCAGAATTTTCACTGTGGGAGGTGCAGGGAGAAGAAGAGAGAGAATCAGACAGGAAACTAATGTATCGGGTGGGGGAGAAAGGGAATGGTGGCTGGCTGGTAGTGGTGGAGGTCAGGAAATGTGACCATATTTGGGATATTTTTTAAGACAGGTCTGACAGTACCTGTTGATTGAATGTGGGCTGAGGGAAAGAGGAATCAAGGATGAGAACAAGGTTTCCGGCCTGAGCAGTTAGCAGCTAGTGACTGGTGGTGCCACCTCAGGGTGGGAAGAGGAGCAGGTTTTGACGGAGGGTGGAGAACTCCTGGAGAACAGAAGTCCATTCTGGACAGGCTGGGTGTGAGGCGCCTGGTGTTAGACATCCAAGCGAAGAGGACAAGGAGGCAGTTGGGTATCCTGCGTTAGCCGGGGAGGTGAGAGGGGGCGATGCGCATTGGGCCATGCCGGCTTACAGAGGCATTTCAAGGAATGGGCCCGCGTTAGGCAAAATAGCACAGTGGCTCTCAACCTCGTGGATGCTACGCCCTCTTTTTAATGACAAATATTTTGGTGATAACTACCCTCCCCCCCTTATTATCTTAAAATGAAACTTATGGTTCAAAAAACTACAACACAATTTTTTAAATTGGCAATGCCCTACCCATAATGTAAAAGAAATAAAAGGAAAGTAGTTGGTAATAAAATGTTTCAATATGTGAGTTCCTGAGCACAAGCTACTAGAAGCTACAATGACGCAGCCCCTGCCAGCACCACTCCTGTGGAACCTGCAGGTGGTGATGGCCACAGGGCAGCCTGCCACAGCCCGTGGGCAGCTCCAAGCCGGTGCCTGCGTGGCTGCAGGTGGCTTTTCCAGACTGGGAGCTGTGGTACCCTTTTATCAAAAACAGTTCAGCCTCCCCTCAGTGTACATAGTACCTAAAACTTAGGAGAACCTTGGAAAAACTGCTCTGTTGCCTGGAAAACAGAGTTGGGTTCTTTATAAGCAGATCTTTAACCTACAGGAATCTCAGAGCCATGCAGGCTGCAGAACAGTTCTCAGTTATGTGCACTGCCCCCTTCAGAGCCCCACTCACTAAAAGGTAGGAGTGTCCCTGCTGAACAGCACCATGGGTTCCCAGAGTCCTATGGGACATGTCCTATGGGACATGAGCCTGTGCCAGCTCCCAGTGTGCCTTGGGGGAGGGGAAATGACACCTCAGGTTCCAGAGTACAGAAACAATGTTGATACTCCCTGCTGAGAGGACTGGTAGGGGAAGTTGGGGTGCCTCTGATCAGACGGTTCTAGGAAGGCTTCAAGGCAGTGGCATTTCTGTCGGGTGTGGGGTGGGAACGTATCAAAGGAGAAGACAGGAGGAAGGACACAGATGAAGCAGCCGGTGGGATAATGCTGGACTCGGGGGGGGGGAGGGGCGGGTCTGCCTGGTCTCCCCAGGGCCTGGCATGCTCTGGGCACTCACTGGGGTTGGCTGGGTGATAGGCAGCAGGGAGTGGTTTAGTTGGGTCAGACCCTGTGGCAGGCTCCATGTCTGTGACACTGGCTGTTCGAGTCTACGGCAAGGTCGGTGTTGGTTTCCTGGTCCATTTTACTGATTATTATTATTATTATTATTATTAGAGAGAGAGGAAGGGAGAGGGAGAAACATCAGTGAGAGAGAACATCGATTGGCTGCCTCTTGCACGCCCCTCACCAGGGATCGAGCCTGTAACCCAGGCATGTGCCCTGACCGGTGGCCTCTTGGTACATGAGTCAGTGCTCAACCACTGAGCCACACCGACTGGGCTCTTGGTCCATTTTAACACCTTAATGACCAGATTGGTCCCCTGAAACCACAGGCCCACTCTCTTGCAATGAGTCATCACCGTATGGAGAACTTACAGTGTGCCAGGTGGGGCTGTAAGGCCAGCATGGACCTGGCGGGCCCTGTCTTCATGGAGCTATCCGCCTCCCAGGGACACAGATCATCATGCCCTGCACAGGTCCGATGGAGGAATCATGGGGGACCTATGAAAGCAGCCTGTGTGTCAGGGGCACCCATCACATTGGGGGGGGGGGGGGGGCGTTCCTGAGGAAGCAACATTTGAGCTGAAGATGAGTAGATCCACTGAGAAAGTATGGAGGGAGGACAGAGCGCCGGCTTCTCCAGGCGCAGGACGGAGCCTGGTTGCTCAGGGAGCTGAAGGTGGCTGGCCGGTGGGACTGGGGCACGAGGGCCGCAGCTGAGCTGAGGCCGGCAGGGGCCCGATCCGGCCTTTTTAGCCTAAAGAAGGGTTTTGATCTTTATCTTAAGAGCACTGGAAGCTGCAGAAGGGATTTAAGCAGTGGTCTGACATGATCAGATTTATGTTTTAAAAAGGTCACTTTGGTAGTAATTCATGGAGAACAGCTTGAGATGACAAGAGAGTGGATATGATCGGGAGCTCGGCTGCCAGCGCCCCTGCTGGGGGTGGGCTCCCTCCTGCTCCTGTCTGCCCCGTCTCCCTGCAGGACAGGCCTGGGTGGGTGGGGTCAGATGGCCCTCACTCTGCCCAAGCCACCAGCACTGCCTTTTCATCCTTCTAGCCTCAGACCTGGACCGTGAGCCCTGCACCCGGTGACCATGGAGAGGATGGGCTCGGCCCACCAGCCCCTTAGGTGAGGACTCCGCCCAGGCTCCGATAACCATCCTGATCATGGAGTGAAGAGAACTCCTAACCAGGCCACGTTCTTGCTGAAAGTCGTGGCGCAGGTCCAGCGGCTCTTCCTGCCCGTCTTCAGGAGAGGTGCCTGCCCCCGCCGACCCCAGCTGGGAGCAGCTGCTTCCACAGATGGGGAGGTGGGCCCTCGACGTGGCCTTTGTGTGGAGGGCAATGTTGACCCTGGGGCTGGTCCTTCTCTACTACTGCTTCTCCATCGGCATCACCTTCTACAACAAATGGCTGACAAAGGTGACTGGGAGGCCTGCACCGAGGGGCCGGGAGGGAGGTGGCGGGGCCACAGTGCCCCTAATACTTAACAGGAAGGCACGGGCTTTAGCCAGTCACGTTAGTGATGGGGCAGAACCCCACAGCCAGCACTGCCATGCCAAGGATTCTCCCAAATATTTGCATCGAGGGGAAATTAGGGGGCCACGGGGATGAGCTGGGGAGACTTGGGGAGCTTATGCAACAGCTGTGGACCAACAGGTAGAAAAGCAGTTCAATACTCTAATAGCTGGCACACCCACGCTGCTGTTCCTTGGGTGTGGGTCATGGGGAGGGGCTGGAGCAGGTAGCTAACAGGCTGTTGAAGGTGGAGACAACACTGAGCTACAGTTGAGCCCCATTTGTCCACCTGCTGCCTGTGTGACCTCCAAACTGGGACTAAGTCTCTGATGCCAAGTGATTGTACTGTGGGTGAAAACCCCTGCAGAGCCCTCAGCACGCACCGAATTAGGGCCCCTGCCACCACGGGGGGGGGGGAGCCTGGTGAGGGCTGCTGTCTAACTGCGCCTCGCCGGCCGGCTGTGCTTTGGGCCCTGTACAGAGCTTCCACTTCCCCCTCTTCATGACCATGCTGCACCTGGCCGTGATCTTCCTGTTCTCCGCCCTGTCCAGGGCTCTGGTCCAGTGCTCCAGCCACAGGACCCGCGTGGTGCTGAGCTGGACCGACTACCTCAGAAGAGTAGCTCCGACAGGTGTGTTCCTGTGGGGAGGGCCCGGCCATAGGCCTAGAACGAAAGGATGTCTTCCTGGCCTAAAGCTCAGGCCCCTCTTTCCCTGACCCACCCATGTTTCCTCACTCCTCTCTGCCTGCCCTCCCCGCCCCCACATCTGCCCCATATGTACTCCATCTTCCCGCTTCCCCCACGCACACCACACAGAAGCCCCAGTGCAGCAGTAGCCTTGTAGTTCCCTTGACCTTGAACATGCACACTGAGCTGTGTTTCCAGGCCCGGAGGGAGTGGTGAGCAGAGCGTGTAGTCCCTGCCCTTGGTGCTAGGCAGGGAGGGCTCCCCAGAGCAAGGGCTGAGTGGGCTGAGACCTGGAGGGCGAGTGGGACCGGGCGGTCCGGGGCGGGGAGGGTTTAGTGCATGTGGGAGTCTGCAAGGGAACTGAAAGTGTCTTGGGGCGCTGAGGACTCAACGTTGGTGCGAGGAAGTGAGAGGGTGGAAGGGGTCAGATCCTGGAGGGCCCGGTCCTCCTCCGTGACCACTCTGAGTGACCACTCTGAAGCGTTTGCAGGATCAGATTGTATCTGTCAGCAGCGGGGTATGCAAAAAATCAAGCAAGTGGGAAGGACACAGGCCCCAGCCAGTCAGAATGCACTATAGTCTGAATGCTGGAGCAGACCCCCCCCACTTTGTTGAGTTAACCTTTTAGTTGCTGGGTAGAAAGGAAGGCCTAGAGGCCCCAGAGAAAGTGAGGGGACTCATGGGAGTGTTCTAATCACTGGTGCCCCCAAGCCACCTGCCCTTTCTCCCCGGCGTGTCCGGTGGGCGCCCTGTGTCTCCACAGCGCTGGCTACGGCACTTGACGTGGGCTTGTCCAACTGGAGCTTCCTCTACATCACCGTCTCACTGTGAGTACCGCCACCTCCCTCAGGCGCACGTTCTCTCTGTCCGTCCAGCTGGCTGTCTGCACCCCTGACCGACAAGCCAGCCACGGCACCACTCTCTGGGACCAGCCGTCCTCTCTGAGCTCCTCCCAGCAGCTTTCCAGAAACTCACCAGCCTCTTCCTTACGCTGGGCACAGTCGATGCTGGGCCTGCTGCCGGGCGGCCTGGGGAAGCCAGGGGCTCAAGCAGAACGGGCGGCCGTGGCCCGGGAGGAAGGCATGCCCGCGTGCAGTGCACGCAGCTGCAGAGGGGAGGCCGGCAGTGACTTCTTACCTCCGGGGTTGTGCCTCAGAGCACAGTCCCTGCCTCCTCTTTCTCTCCTCTCATCCTTTCTTCCTCGTCCTGGGCTCCGCTGAGAGCAGGTGATAATAGGCCTCGGTGAGCTCAGTGTCAGACCTGCAGCCTTTCCTCCCTGCTGATAATTACAGGCCTCGGAGATTCCTTCGATTAAAGGTCACAAATCGGCCAGATGACTCGGGCCACCTTCCTTTGGTCTTTTGAACCCAGATTGTCCTGCTGCCCTGAGCAGAGCCCGTGGCCCTCAGGGAGGTCAGGAAGCTCCCCCCTTTCCAGCCCACTGGCTGTACTGTGGGGTCCGTTCTGGATGGCGGGTCTGAGCCCCGGGTTCCAGCCGTGCACGGTGGTCATTTTCGCTTCCAGGTACACAATGACCAAATCCTCAGCCGTCCTCTTCATCTTGATCTTCTCTCTGATCTTCAAGCTGGAGGAGCTGGTGAGGCCCCAGCATCCCCTGAGTCCCTCCTACCCCCTCAGGTGGTAAGCATGAGAAGGGGTCTGAGCAGCGGCTTGTCACTGTGACAGAAGAGAGGAGCCCAGCCCAGGGGCAGAAGCTCCCGACAGAAGCTGAGGAAGGACTGAGCACTGGGCACTACCAAGAAGTTTAGAAAGCGGTGTGGCGAGGGGGGGTGGGGGGGTGGGGGTGGTAAAGGCCAAGGGAGGAAGGGTTCCAGTAGGAGGGGCCAGGTCAGGTCAAGCTGGGCCGAGGGGCCTGCTGTGCGAGGCAGCACCTTGGTTTCATATTGGGGAGGGGCCTAGGACAGCATAGGGAAGCACCTCAGTATGTGGGCAGGTAGGGGTGTTGGGGACGTCCAGCTGGATGCAGCCCTGCACACCTCCATGGGGAGGAGCTGGCCAGGGCCTCCCAGGGTGGTGGGTGGGGAGAGAAGGGCCAGCCAAAATGGCTGCCGACCCCCAAACTCCAGGTTGGATGAGCTGGAGACTCCCCAGTTAGCTGCCACCTGCTCCCCTCCTCATAGCGGGCGGCGCTGGTCCTGGTGGTCCTCCTCATCGCCGGGGGCCTCTTCATGTTCACCTACAAGTCCACGCAGTTCAACATGGAGGGCTTTGCCTTGGTGCTGGGGGCCTCGTTCATCGGTGGCATTCGCTGGACCCTCACGCAGATTCTCCTGCAGAAGGCGGATCTTGGTGAGAGCAGGCCCAGCACCAGGGGGTGGAGGCCGGTGGCCAGGCTGACGGCTCACCATGTCCCCGTTCTGTAGGGCTCCAGAACCCCATCGACACCATGTTCCACCTGCAGCCACTCATGTTTCTCGGGCTCTTCCCCCTCTTTGCCATATTTGAAGGTAGGTTGGGCCGTCCACCTCGGGGCACTTCAGTACAGCAGCCCCCCAACCCCCCTCTCTGAGCCCAGCTGCAGAGGACACAGAGATCAAGTGCGGCCTCCCCTGGCAGTGCCTGGTTTGTGTGTCTGAACAGACACTTAAACCAAATGGCTAGAATCCAGCATGATAAACGTTACACAGAAAATGTATGAAACATAGTAGACGATAATGACAGTGCACGTGTCCAGCCCCGGAGGTAGGCCAGGGCTGTTCTAACCGTTTTACATATATCACCTCTTTTAATACTCCCCAAAACCCCATGGGGCAGTACTATTAATATCCTCATCTTGCAGGTGAAAGAAACTGAGGCAGAGAGAAGTAGAGATAACCTTGCTTCGGGTCCCATGACTCCTAAACGAGCCTGAACTTGGATCCAGGAGCTGGCTCCAGAGCCCCTCCTCTTAACCATTCCGCTGTGTTCTGCCTCTTAGGAGGAGAGGTTCATGCGTTGTCTCAGGGTGGTAGGGTGGAAAGGCTTCCCAGACAGTGTATCTGGGAGGATGAATGGGACTTGGACAGGCTGATGGGGGGGAGGGGGGAGCATCCCAGGAAGTGGAAACAGGTTCAGAGGAATGGGGTGTGAGCTGGATTGCAGGAATGTTTATTGGGGGGCCAGCGGGTACAGGGAGTCTGGGCAGGTGAGCAGTTCCCTCCACTGTCATCTCCCAGAGAGAAGAGCGGGCAGCGTTGTCTAGCCTGGGAGGTGTACCACATCCTCCTTCCTCTGATGTTTTGGGATTAGGCTTTGTCCCCTGTCTGTGTATCCTTCCTCCCAGAGTCCCTTCTGTCCTCAGGGTCATTACAGAAAATCCTGTCCCGCATCCATTTAAGTTGCAAGCAGTGAGGCGTCTCGAACCTCTGAGAAAATTATTTGTGGCCCCGTTGTCCAGGAAACTTCTGTTCTGCAGCCTCATTTTCTCTCTTTTTACAATCTCTCCCCATTCCTTCATTGTGTCCCCGGTAAAAACGCCACATTCTCCCTCCCTCCCCGGGTGTTTACACTGCTCCCCATCTCTGCAAACCCTCCCCCGAAAGTCCCTGAAAGCCCCTGGCCGTAGTCACTTAGCAAAGCTGCATGGATTTAGCTCCTTTAATCTTTTCTGGTAAATTAATCCCCCAAGCGCCTTCATTACTTATGTTGCTTTCCCCGAGTCCCTTCCATTCGCCCATGCCTTTGCCGTACTGCTGAGCCCAGCACCAGGCAAGATGTCCTACATTGGAGGCTGTTTGCCTGGGGTTGGGGGGGTGGGGTGGGGTGGGGGGCTGTCACTGTGTTTCTATGGTGCTTCCCTCCAAAGATCTCAGGGTCCTTAGCCAGCCTCCTGCCCCCCCCCCCCCCGCCCCAGGTGTGTCCTTTGTGCCTAGACTGGGCTCACCTCACATCCTGTTAATACTCCCAGGGGCCTTTCCTGAAGGGAGGGACCCAAGGAATCATCCTCCCAGATGGACAGTGTTGGAGGGTCAAGAACCCTCTGAGACTAAGCAAGTTCACTGCCTGGATGCCTGTGTGGGTGTCTGGAGCGGGGGGCCGTGGCTTTTGTTGAGTATTTATATGCAGTGTGTGTTTTTTTGAGAACTGTTCATCAGATTATACCATCTGTTTGAGAAACATTGGTCTAGTCCCAACCGGTTCATTCTATTAGTGGGGAAACTGCTCCCAAAAGGGGGCGTGTCTCGGCCAATTCCCACTGCTATGTGGTAGTCAGGCCTGGATGAAAATGAGTTTTGCCCCTGTTTATAGGTGGCCCCCCTGAAATTGAGCACAGAGGACTCCCCCGCAGCCCTCCCCACCATTGCCCAGGGGCTGAAAGTCCTCACGTGATGCCTGCCCACCTCTCTTGGGCCCATTGGTTATCACAGCTGCCAAGGCCATAGGAAGTCCACCCTCACCATTCGGACCGCAGATGGGAGGGAAACACCATGGGGAAGAGCCGGGTGCTCCTGTGGGTTGTCTGTGTGGTGCCGTCCCCGTACTTAGCGCAGGGGCTCCGAAGCCCTCCTACCACTCCCTGGGCTCTGGCAGCCGTCCATCCTTGTTGTCTTAGGAAGTGTGCCCCGCGCCAGGGGCAGTTCTCACCCGGCTGCGGGAGGGTGAGGCCGCCCGGCAGGCACACCCAGGACATGGTCGCCCCTGTCTCCCCCGTTGCTTTCAGGTCTCCATTTGTCCACATCTGAGAAAATCTTCCGTTTCCAGGACACAGGGCTGCTCCTGCGGGTACTTGGGAGCCTCTTCCTTGGCGGGATTCTTGCCTTTGGTTTGGGTTTCTCCGAGTTCCTCCTGGTTTCCAGAACCTCCAGCCTTACTCTCTCCATTGCCGGCATTTTTAAGGTACAGACTCAGGTGACCCCCGTCCTGTCTCAGAGAGGAGCCCCTGAGGGTGCTTCTCACCAGCAGTTCCTGCACCCCAGGGCCTATAAGGAAGAGAGGGAAGTACCTCATTAGGGCGCTCAGTGCCATGCTCTCATCTGTACTCCCCCACCCCCTCACTGCAGCCCTGTGAGGTGGGGATGGTCATGAGACATGAGCTGCTCCTACCCAGGAAAACAGCTAATGGCTGAGCTGGGGTGCAGAGCCAGGTCCGCCTCCACTGGGCTTGGGACGCATTTACATTTACTAGGAATGCCAACTCGTCCTGTGGCAGCGGCAGGGAGCCATGGATTGAGAAACCCCCATTCAGACTCATCAGTAACAAGTTCTGTGATTGATTGGTGATGTCTGCCATGGGCACAGCCAGGGACAGTTAAGTCATTAGTGCCCTGTGCTTGCCTGGCCTGCCTTTACCTCTCCCTGGCAGCGTTCTTGCCTCTCCTCTTGTCACTTCCCTCTTCCCTCCACCACACGCTGTGGGGGAGTTTGCTCTTTGATCCTGGAGCAGTGCTGCCTAAAAGCAGAAACCTAGGGGCTCCCCAAGGGTCTTCTGGTTGCCAACCAAATGATGAGGCGGAAGCCATGGTTCTCAGAATGAGTCATTTCACAGTGCCATTTGCAGCCATTGTGTGTGAAGAACCCCGGGACCAGTGCATGTCCCACAAAGCCCTGTATGACGCTGCATTCTCCCCCGGCAGCTGAGGGCTCCCCGCCTGTACCTTCCGGAAGGGCTCTCCTGTATTCCTGTGGACACAGCTGCATTTGGTTGGTCTCCTTTTATCCTGCAGTTCTGTGAAAGCATCTCCTTTGTTTCATCTCAGTAACACAAAGGAGGAAAGCATTGCAGCAGGCCCCATGCAAGCTTCTCTGTGCCCTGCAGGCCAGCCGCCCTGGCCTGGGAGTTAGGGCGAGTCTGGCTCTCTCCTGTGGTTGTGCTTAGTGCCTGGCCCTCTTTACAAAGGGCCAACTCATCCCGCCGATCACTTCCCCTTCCTGCTTCTCTGCCCGCAGGAAGTCTGCACTTTGCTGTTGGCAGCTCATCTGCTGGGCGACCAGATCAGCCTCCTGAACTGGCTGGGCTTCGCCCTCTGCCTCTCGGGAATATCCCTGCATGTCGCCCTCAAAGCCTTGCACTCCAGAGGTAACCTGAGCCCCTTTCCTACGCCTGCATTCAGGACATCCTCCCCATGACTCAGCCCCTCTGATTTCCTCTCAACCCAGCCCTTCCGGGAAGAGGCAAGTGGCCCTCAGCTTCCCCAAGTAGTTCCAGTCTGCACGATTCAGTTGCCTCTGCAGGGGCTGCTGCTCTCCTCAGCATGCTGGAGTCATCTCTGAGGAACTGGGGAGGGGCCCCAGGTGACAGCACACACATCAGGGCACAAGACGCTGATTGGGGCTGTAACTGGTGTCTCTTCATCCCCAGGTGATGGCGACCCTAAACCTTCAAAGGGGCTGGGCTCCAACCCCGACCTGGAGCTGCTGCTCCGGAGCAGCCAGCCAGAGGAAGGGGATAATGAGGCGGCGGAGGAGGAGGACTTTGTGGCCCAGGGGTAGCAGCGACCAGCCTGGGGAGCAGCTTTGAAGCAGGCCGCTCCCAGTCTTCATGCTGATGGAGCTCAGGGACCAGGTGGTTTCTCACAGCAGCTGGGAGCAGCGGGCCAGCAGTGTCCACGCTGGGCCTCGGGTAGCACGGGACCCATGGTGGGGCCGAGTCGGAGAGTTGGCCAGAGGGGTGAGCACCAGGCCAGAACAGGCCTCACGCTGTGCTGGAGTTGCAGCGGAGGAACGGAGGGCTGTTCTCAACTGCTTGCCAGGCTCTGGCTGCCAAGATCATGATTTCAGAGGCATCACAGGTGTCTAAGGGGCCTGGGCCTGGACTGCAGAGCAGTTGGGAAGGGGAGATGGAGAGCTGGGGGCTTATCACCTGGACAGCTCTTTGCTCTGAGAGCAGATCTATTTATAGTTTGGAAATAAAGGGTTTACAGTCCACTAGTCACTTCATGTTGCCTGGAGGTGTGGGGGCAGGGAGGGGCAGTCGGCCTGGCCTCTCCTTCCTCTGCCTGGGGCCTCGCAGGTGACTGGCCAGACTCCAGCCTTCCCATCACGTGTACCCCTGCTTGAGCCCAGGACCCTCTCGGGAGCCCAGGCACACCTGCAGGCAGGAAAGTGAATATGCGCTGAGCACCATATTCTGGGGACCTTAAAGCTGTCACTTACCACCCATGACCTGAACCAAGTTCCTTCACCTCTCTGTGAAATGGGGGTAATAATTGTCTCAGAGTTGTTCTGAAGATTGGAAACAGTTTAGATATTATATTAGTGTTTATTTTGAAAATCCTTTCAACAACCATGGATCCAAGACCCTAAATGAGTGGCCGACCTACGGTTCACAGCACCAGTGTTTGTCCATGAAAACGTGGACGGGGAGATGGGCCTCCAGGCCTTCCCATCACCTGCCCTGGACGAGTCACACAGACTGCTGTCTTTATCAAGTGGGGAGGGAGGAGACAAGCACCCAGCTCTGCTGTGCTCTGGTTCTGAGGCCTGGCCTGCTCCTGGGAGCCGGTTCTCCTGGATTGGGAGGGACTGCTGGCCACGGGGTCACATCCTCCCAAGCACAAGTGCTTGTGGGCCTTCACAGCAGGTGGCGCCATCGCACCACAAGGTGACGCCAGCACCGGGAGAACTTCCACCACCACCCAAGGCCAGGCAGGAGGGTATGGGGGTCTGCGCGGGGCGGCCTGTTGGGAACTGTTCTGATAGATTGGAGCCATGAAAGCCCCTTTTAAGCCTAGGAGAACGTTAGTGTTTGAGGAATGGGACCGGCAAACTTTGGAAAGGGCCACATAGTAAATATTTCCCATTTGGGGACCATCTGGTCTCTTGCAGCCTCTCAAGTCTGCCAATGTAGCAGGACAGCCGCCACGGACAGATCCAGAAACAAACGGGCAGGCTGTGTTCCAATGGAACCTTATTTACAGGAATAGGACTCGGCGTGCTGGCTGCAGTTTGCCAACTCCTGCTGAAGAAGAAACCTTAAGAATTGTTGAGCCGCACCCACTCCCAGTCCACGGAGGCAGGGGGTAGATGCCGTGACCAGTCTGAGGTCCTCAGAGCCTCCCGGCTTGAGTTGAGCTTCACTGCAGACTTCTCCCGTTCGTGGAGGTGTGACGCGAAGGTGCCTTATCTGGTTCCTGCACCTCTGCTCCCCTGGATTGTGCAAGCTCAGGCCAGGATTAAAGGAAGCTCATGTTCCACGAGAGATGATGTGGGACGAGCTAGCAAAACGGAGGGGCCAGGACCCCTCCCTCCTGCCTCTGCTTGGGAGGCTGGTTGGGATGCAGGATGCTTGGGCTGCAGAGAGCCTGCCAGAATCCCCTGGCTTAGGTGGGTGAGAGCTTCCTGCCTGCCCCTCCCCACACCGTCCCCCTCTTCCCACACAGGGAGCAAAAGCTGCTGTCTGGTACAGTAATTACAGGGTGCAGAGCAGGGGCCGGTGCTGTGCCGCCTGCATGTTAGGTTCAATGACAGCCCCTCACTTAGCAGCAATTACCAGCTGATCCTAGAGGAGGACTCCCTCCTCTTGCCCCTCCCCCCTTCCTGCCAGCCCTATTGCCTGGCCTTCCAGGCCAGACCCTATTCACCTTCAGCTTGGAGCCCTAGAAGCACCCATGCTGTCTGCAGCCATTGCATCTCAGGGTTGCATCGTTGCCATGGTAACTCGGTGCTTGCACAGGTTTCGGGAAGCTCAGGCTGTGACTTGTCTCCAAGGCTGTGCTGTCTGTCCCCAGGAAGCCTACAGCTCCAGGGCTTCTGCAGAGGAGGGAGGAGGGAATGTGGGCTGACCTGCAGGTTCGAGTTTTAAGTGCTTACATGCCCACCGTCTCTCCCGGGAACCTACCACGGAACGAAGGTTATTGCCCCCAATATATGAGGATGTCTGTAGTTGAGGTCGTGGTGGGGATGAGCACGAGCTGGAGCTCGCCCGTGGGAGAAACCTGCGATGGCAGGCAGGGCCTGGTGTGCCTTCATCTTCATTCTGGTACCCTTCTCTGCTGAGGGCTCAGGGCATCACCTCCATCTGTTTCTGCTCCATTCTTCTGAGGGGGAAAAAAACGAAACTCCCAGTGGCTTGAGAGTAGTTACACAGAACCAAGAGAACAGTCTGTGATGCTTGCCACAGCTTGCTGCATCCTGGACTACTGATGGGCTGGGTTGGGTCCCCAGTGTGCAGATAACTGAGGGTGCGGATGCAGATCATCCATCTGGGTTGACGGCATCCCGGGAGTGCTGATCCCATGCCAGATATTGAGCTGAATTTGGGATAGACAGTCCTTGGAGAGATGGCAAATGGGGCCATCCTTCCTCTCAGCCCAGGGAGGTGTTGAGGCAGGGGACCAGGGAAACGGGGAGAACAGAATGGACCGGTCACTGGGCGCCTTCGAGGCCTCTTGTGTTGACTATTTAATCCCTAAATCCCAGTGCAGTAGGAATTGACTGTACCCATTTCACAGCTGTGGAAACTAAGCTCACAGAGGTTAAGCATGATGGTGGCTGAGAACGCACCTCAGAGACTCCACCAGACCTGGATTCACACCTCTGCCCTGTGACAGTGGTGTGTCTTGGGCATGTTGCTGATCTCCTCTGGGCCTGTTTCCTTGTCTATGAAGCAGGCACCCTAATACTTCCTAATGAAGCTGTTGTGAAGATGAAATGTCTTAGACAGCAGCACAGTGCTGGGCACATAGGAATAGCCACTTAGTAAAGGTCAGCAACGAGGATGTGACACACTTGCCCATGTGACAGAGCAAGTGAGAGGAGAGCAAGCACGGAGTGCTGCCTGCTCCAGTGCCTGGCCCAGCGGAGGCCTGAATAGATACTTGCTCTGTGAAGGAATTTCCAACAGTGGGAACTGGGATTTTTCGGGTCCCAGGGACCATCCTAATTTCTAAATGATTTGTCCTGCAAGGACAGGACAAGCTGTTCCCCACCTCCACCACCCATTTCCGCCAGCCCCTGGCCCCCCAGCCGTCCTGAGCCCTCACCCTGACATGAGTCAGGCCCCTTGGCCCTGCCTGGTAGTACCCAGTTAGCTTGGCTCCTGGTCCCATGGTTATCTGCAGTTTTGTTGGCAACTAGTGCCTTTCCCAGGAACAAACCCACAGCCTTGGTTCTGCTGGCATCCTGCTGGGGGGGCTGTGCCTTTCTCCGGGATGTCTGATGAGAACTCTCCTGCTGGGACGACAGAGGGACTGAAGAGAGAACCAGGGGAAAGTGCATTGCAATGCATTTAATAAATTCTAGAGCAGCGGTTGCCAACCTTTCGGACCTCACGGACCACCAGTGAGGTGGCGACTACTGTTCTAGAGCATCAACAATGCGCCCTGCCCGGTGAGAGCCATTGGAGACGTAGGAGTCATTACGACGCTGCCGTCCGCAGGCAGCTTCTGCGGGACCTTTTAACCCAGTGGGTTTCCTGGAAGCGGACTCAGGAGATTAGGGTGCAGGATATCATTTAGGAAATGGTCTTGGGAAAAACACGTGGAAGGGAGTAGAAGGATGCAGGTTTTGGGAGCGGGAGAAGCTGAGTCCCCCCAAAAGGCTCAGGACCCCACAAGGAGCCCTGGAGTTGAGCCAACCCTTCAGACTTGTCCCAAGGTGGGCTGCGGCCTGTGCATTTCCACTCTGATCTGCCATTGGAGGTGGACCTACCCCCAGCAGGAGCTGTGACTTTGGCTGAGGCTGTTTTCTTCCAATGAGAATTTTGCTGAGGACCGACTCCCAGTCCCACTGCAGCGGGGAACCACTCATTCCCAAAGGGGATCGGAACAGCTCATCACAGCCTCCACCACACCCAGGGCCATGGCTGGCTTCACGGATGACCAGGGGTCCCTGAAGCAGGGTAGAAACCACATCTGACATGAACGTGCATGTGTGCATTTGCGGGGGAAGAGTGCCTTTGACCCCCTAAAAGATTAAGAACCACTGGTCAAGGGAAAGTCAGGCTTATCCACAGCTTAAAAACCACATGATCAAGGATGAACACTATAGGTGCTCAGTATAGACGATGGATGGATGGATGACGAGTGGATGGATGGGTAGACGTCATAGAATTATTGGGAGACAGACTGCAGAGCTTGTGCGGAGAAACCAATTCTGCCTGGGGCAGGAGAGCAAAGATTTTCAGGAGGAGCTGACCATTTTGAACTGAGTCTTGAAGACTGAATGAGCGTTGCCAAGCAGGCATAAGGGTAAAGCAGTTACACAGTTCCACGGGGGGGGGGGGGGGGGGGCAGGGGGCAGGGGCGGGGGATGAGGAAGGGAAGGATGGTGTGTTGGGTACTGTAATAGGAGTTAGTCTGTCTGGGTAACAGGAGGGAGTAAAGCCCCCAGGTCCCCCAGGAGGTACCCTGATAGGAATTGTTCTCCCAAGTTGCTCTCAAGCAAGCAGGTACCTCTCCCCACCACCCCCAACACTCAGCGATGGCCAGTGCCTCTGGGTGGGGGAGGGGAGGTCTTAGAGGTAATAGTGCACCAGTGACAGCATCAGCTCACTCCTGCAGCACACCCCTGGGGACTCAGTGGTACTGGCTGGCCCATTGTCCAGGTGACAAACAGGAGCCGCTAGACAACTTCCCAAGGTCACTCACCTCACAGCTCCCAAGAGCAGCGGGAGCCCTCCCCGGGGCTCCCCCCCCGCCCCCCCCCCAGTGCCCCGCACATGGCTGTTTGGAATGCCAGCTCTGGTTAGGGGCATAAAAGTGCCCCCCTGCGGTGGCCGAGGGGCGGCAGGGGCAGCATCCCGCGGGCCCTATTTTGCTCTGGGAGGAATCCCCCCTGAGCCAGAGCCTCTGTCCTGTGGCAGGGCTGCCCCATGAATTAAACATGCCCCCGTGGTTAACTCAGTAATGCTTTTATTAATAGTTAATTACTCAGTGCGCACTAGGGAAATGAGACTCACTCAGGCCTCGTAAATTAAGACAGTGATCTCG